AGATATGCTAGTTACTAACATTCTTGTCACAGACTTGAAATGAGATAGTGCATGTTTTAACTCACAGAAGTGAACCAGAGGCAAAACAGTTTGTTGCCAGATCTGTGAAACTCTGTGACTAGACTTAGGTCTAGAGTTGGCTAAGTATTGTCTTTGTCATCCTGCTAGAAGGACATGAGTTAATGACTCATGTCTGTGTGTTTTTGTTTGTTTGTTTTTAGGGTCCACCAAAATATACAAAATCTGTTCTTAAAAAAGGTGATAAAACCAACTTTCCCAAAAAGGGAGATGTTGTTCATTGCTGGTATACAGGAACACTACAGGACGGCACTGTTTTTGATACTAATATTCAAACAAGTAAGTCTAAATGTAATCTTATCTTTTTGGCTTTAAGGCATTGCAAAATATTTGTGTGGCAGATGAGCAGAAAAAGGCAGTACCTTTTTCTTGGCTGTCACTTTTCTCCGGAATCTTTTGCACCTGTGGTTTACTTTAAGCCGTCTTCATTTAAAGTAGGTCTTCCACTACATATCGGCTGGGTAAATAAAGACCTCTTGGTCATCGGAAAGCAAAAAATAAAGAAGCTTAGTCTAAACTTGGTTATTGTCCCAAAGCAAGGCTTTAACATTTTAATATAAAAGGTGGAATACAGTGCTATTTTAGTAATATAAATTGAGGTCCCTCCCCTCTCTCCTCCCCATTTGAACCATAATTATTTTTACGTTCAGAATTTTCTTCTTGAGTTACCTGGCTTTCTGAGTTTTTATTTCTTTTTAAATGCATAGTATGGTAAATTCTGAAATCAAGTTAAAGACTTAAATCACTATATTTTTCCATTGGAACTTAATTTCATCAATTATAATGAAAATCTGTTTTACAGGTTCAAAGAAGAAGAAAAATGCCAAGCCTTTAAGTTTTAAGGTTGGAATAGGCAAAGTTATCAGAGGAGTAAGTAAAGAACAGCAGTGAATCACTAGAGATTGTGGCATATGCTTGTGGTATGGTGCCATAAACAATTAGGATTGGGGATATGATGAAAAGAAAACAATCTTCAGAGTGTGACAAATCGGGTCCTGTCATTACTAACTGATCTGGCACAAGTTCAGTTCTCAGGGTCTTAGTTTCCCAATCTATAGAAATAAGGACAGTATAGCCTACCTCGGGTTGTTAAAAAGATTAAATGAGCATAACTTAAAGCACGTAATATAGTAGGGACTCAAATTTCCTTCCATGTCTACCCCTTTTATTCTGTTTTTCTTCATAAAGAAATTGTCAGAATGTTTGACTTGCTAAATTTGTTTTTAAAATTCTTATAAAATGTTACATAGCTGTTATACCCCTTATACACGATCAAGAAAGATAAAATATCTGTCTTGCTGAAGTACTGATAGAAGCAGCAGTTTGTTCTGTAGCCTCACCTCTCACAACCTGGGCTCACACCAGAAAATCTTTCAGATGTAAGCATGCCTTTACCCCACCCTTACATGTGAGAGTGAACAGAAGGAAACTTGGAGAAAAGAGGACGTCAGACTTGAGCTGTGCTGACCGCTGCAGTGCACAAAAGGAGATGAAAGAGCAGGGCTGATTGTCAGCTTCACTGAATCCCGGTGTCATGCTAAGGCCCACTCATTACTCAGGACTTCAGACATTAATAACTGAAACGCCTACTTAAATGCAGTTATGAGAACCCTCAATGTGTTATTCGTTGTACTGTGGCTAAGTCCTAAAATACTGGTTCAGTCATGTTCAGAGCCCAAAACAGAATATAAAACATCTTGAAACTAAAGATTTAGTTGAGAATAACCTTAACTGCTGCTCCTTGATTATACCAAGTTGAGAGCAACTGTGTATCAAGCTGAGCATTTTTCTATTTCTGTAACTAATTTGCTTACTGGTAAATTTCTTCTAGTGCACATATTCTTATTTCCAGTATGTGACAGCTCTGTCTGTATCCCTTGAGCTTTACGTGATTGTTACATTTTCAACAGAGTATATGAGAGTAGTAATGTATCCTGTATTCTTGTATCATACTGATTTAACTGTTTTGGGGCATTATTTGGGCATTAAGATCCAAATTTGGACAGAATGCAGCAGCAACCCAGAAACTCTGTCGTTTCTTTGAATAGTTTTACTTTGTGCAGAACATGTTAATGCTCTAACATATAGTTGGTTTTATGTGCCATCATGACTCCACTATTACAATTTGGTCATCTTAAGGCAGTTTTAGAGTGAATACTTATTAGTTTATCCCTATAAAAATAAAGTTTGTCCTGTGACCTAAAAGTATAGCAAATTTTTTATGATAATGCTAACAAACTGGTTTCCATAATGTATGACATGTTACAGTTTACAAAACATTTGAGGAGTTTGAGTATTACGCTAAAAAATTATTGTTTAATATATCCTTATTTTTTTTTTTGGGGGGAAATAAAGGACAAAGATTTAGGGACTTACCCAAGGACATTACCTTAGGACATAATGCAATCCAGTAACAGAATGCTTGTCTGTATATAATCTTGCCTGTCTTCTGGTTTTCCATGTATTTTTTGCAAAATATCATTAGTTTTTACTTTATGTTCTTGCCTTTAGTGGGATGAAGCACTCTTGACTATGAGTAAAGGAGAAAAGGCTCGACTGGAGATTGAACCAGAATGGGCTTATGGAAAGAAAGGACAGCCTGATGCCAAGTATCCTTTTTTCCTATGTAATTAAAGGAAAAAACACTAAGAAAGATCATCTGAAGGTATGAAAGATGCTGTCTAGGTTAACCTCCAGATCAGGAATCCTTTCCAGACCAATCTTCCTGATACTTAGATGCTTTTGTGTCAACATCCCCAATATAGACGACAGTTAATGTTAGTACCAAGTATTCAAACTTGAGCTGGAATCTACCTTTTTTCCTCTAATTCAAGCTCTCAATTTTCAAGACCTAAACTGTAAAGTTTCAATTTTCATCTTTGAAAGGCAATTCTTAACGTTTGGAGGGTTTACTTCAAGGAGTTAAGATGCCAGATACAAATAGCTGTAGCATGGGCCGGCTCCGTGGCTTAGTGGTTAAGTGCGTGCGCTCTGCTGCTGGCGGCCTGGGTTCGGATCCCGGGTGCGCACCAACGCACCGCTTCTCCAGCCATGCTGAGGCCGCGTCCCACATACAGCAACTAGAAGGATGTGCAGCTATGACATACAACTATCTAGGGGGCTTTGGGGGGAAAAAATAAATAAATAAAATCTTTAAAAAAAAAAAATAGCTGTAGCAAATTGTAGGATGTAAATGTGGCTCATGGTAATTTTATGGTACGGTGTAAAATTATGTATAAAAATATAAAAATTATGCTACCATATAATTTTAGGCAATTAAATGGGTACTCAAAGCTTAGAAATGGAACACATGTTGAGGACTACTAGTTGTGAAATGACGGAGACTACAGGTCCAACGTAGTATAAGCATTTGTGATCACTACTAATGACAACACTTTTCTGATAGGCCCAGTTTGTGAACATTAAAAAAAAAAAAATCATGACTCCAGACCATTCTGACCAGAACAATCCAGTAGGTAAGTGGGAAGGCAGTTTTTCTATTGTGGGTTCCATTCCCATTGGACTAGTTGGACCACTTAGAATAAGTTTCGGGGGAAGAAAAATGGAAGTTCTCTAGTCTTACCAGGTAAAATTATTTGGGAATAGTCAGATGGCCAACTACAGCCCCCCCCCCCCCTCATGTGAAGCATCTCAAGACCAGTCAGATAAAATCACTCTTCATCACTGAACTCAGCATCTTAAAATTCACAGCAAATATCATGTACTACCTCATACAAACTTATATACTCTAAACTAGATTGAAATCACTCTTTGGAGTACTGAGTAGCAGTCTTCATTAAGTGGTGGCTAATTTGGGAGTACTAGTGAGGCATCCAGGTAAGGAAGATCCTAGTGCAAACTCAACTTACGTGGTCAGCCTACAGTAATAGGTTATGATCTCCATTCACAAGGATACTGTTAGGAATCTGTAGGCTCGTACATATTAGCCTCTGAATCAGCTATAAAGCCGTTCCCTTGGGGGTTAATTACCAATATGCAGTCTACATAATTCTAATTTTAGACTAAAGTTATTGAGAGTGAAAGGAGAAGCAATTTTTATCAAATTTACCTTGACTTATGCAACAGAATTCCACCCAATGCAAAACTCATTTTTGAAGTGGAATTAGTGGATATTGATTGAAATAGCAACGTTTCAGATCTCAAGACATCAGCAACAATAAAACATGGCCTTGAAGAAACTTATGTAACTAATTAGAGCTGGTTACTATTATAAGGGAAGAGTCAACTGGAAAATTCAAGAAGTTAGGACTTGTTTACTTGATCCCCAATTAAGAAACATAACCCCTTATAAATCCCTCAAGTTTAAAATATTTTACTACAGCTGGGTAAAATATTGGTTAAGGAGAACTGATTTTCCTCTTACCTCATGTTGTAAACTATAAGGCTCAATAAAAATTTATCCAATGTCTTGATTTGTTTGGTGTTAATATATTTATCAGTGTTTTCATTAGGTTAACCAGGATAAGGCTTCATCAAACCAGGGAGTAACAGTAAAATTGGGCAGCTTTGCCAGGGACACTCATCTTAAAAGTCTTTAAATAAATAAGTATTCCTGATAGTGAGACGGCAAAAGCATAGAGATTGAGAGAAAGCTACAAGGTCTAATAGCTGAATTCAAGAAAAGTACGTTTTGGGGCCGGCCCCGTGGCTTAGCGGTTAAGCGCGTGTGGGTTTGGATCCCAGGCGCGCACCAACGCACTGCTTCTCCGGCCACGCTGAGGCCACGTCCCACATACAGCAACTAGAAGGATGTGCAGCTATGACATACAACTACCTACTGGGCTTTGGGGGAAGAATAAATAAAATCAAGAAAAGTACGTTTCAATGACCACTAATAATGGTGAATATAAAGTTAATGTTAGTAGGTGATCCCCCCCAAATAAATTCATAACAATTAGTGGTGAGTCTTCAGTTTTATTACAAAAATGAAGATGATCAGTTTGATCAAAATGAAAGCTTGCTCACAAGTTTTACATGAATATTCTAAATACAAAGTCTCCTGAAATAACATACTTTTGATATGATTTTCATTTTTTAAAGGGATGCAGACATTCCATTTTCTCATTTACAATCTCTACTCCAAGACACGGTATTTTAATAGTATACCTTTTCTGCAGTTAGATCCAAATTCACAAGGATAATTGAAACACACAGACAAAACCTCGTCAGCAAAGGTTAAAAATCCATTTTGTTTTGTTTTACAGAGGAGGTAAATCCTTAATAACCAGCCCTTATGTTTTTTCAGCATCTTGTACTACAGTGACATGATTGCAGTCAGTTTTTTTTCCTACCCCTTAAGGCTACAAAACTGTTGGAAATGCATTGCAAAAAGAATTCTAGACCACTTAATGCAAAAATCAAAAAAATAGTTCTCCAATAAAAAGTAAATTTTATAAATGGTAGGAAATAGTATCTGTGGTAAGCTACTAAATGACATTTTCTATTACTAAACAAATCATGTACACAGAAACAGGGAAGACAAGTTATCAAATGCAACAAGCTTATGCCATGTTTACATCCCTCATTAAAAAAAAATAATTTCATACTTTTCACACACTCCATCCGATATTTACATTTTCCCATCAGGTTGGAGGGGGAGGATAATACTGTCCATAATTCCAAGGATTCTGATAATTGTACTGAAAGGAAAAAGCAAACGTTAGCATACTACAACTATGGCTGAGTTCCATATATAAACATAAAGCAGGTATGTTTAAGAAAATAGGCATGTGCTAAATGCTGAAATTCCAAGACCTAACCACAAAAGACAATGTATTATACAATCTAGAACAGAAGCAAAGAATTTTTAAGACTATCCTTATTTATGCTCCTAATAACATCTATGAACAAAAAATTCAATTATGATTCTGTGAACTCACTTGATACCAGGCACTATAATTATATGCAGCTTGATTTGCCTGTAAATCACCATCAATCATCTGTGTAGATGACGAAGTTGTATCTTCTGTATGTGCTTTCTTTTCCTCTGGTTCTTCTGATCTAAATAAAAGGTCAAAATGGAAACTTTCAAAACTCCTACAGTTAAGTACTTTAACAAATGGATGAATGTCACCTGTGTATGTTTGTTTTACTGAAGTTCTCAACTACTCAATTTCATGTGATTTTTTCAAATCATGAAAATTAAATTACATAAAGGTAACATTTTAAAATAGTTGTCTTTAAAGGCATTTCCACAATGAAATGCCTTCTTTTAAGCATCCCTTCCTGATTGAGCAAAAAGTTACATACCCATTTTCTGCTTTCCTTTTTAAAGAATCCTGTTCTTTTAGGAGTGTTTGATGTTCATCATAAGCATTCAGAAGCCTGAGAGAGAAGAAATAAAAATCCTCGGGAATATACAAAAAACAAACTCTTAAATTTTTAAAGTTGCTAAGTTATTTCCACTTAGGGAACAAGTATGTTGCAATGAACACCCTTCTTTAATAAGCCACCAGAAGAAACCTGCCCTTGACTGCCTTTTCTGATTTATTTCCTCTGGGAAACCACGGCCCTGCACTTTCCTTCTCAGTCCCTGTGGTTCAGATGGGGCTTCAGGGTTACAGGCCTGGCCAACTACAGTACCATATACTGTACTATAATGATTGGTTGGGAGGTGAGTATATGACCCAAGCGAGGACATTTAGTGAGTCCCAAGACTTTTCACTGAGCTACTGGAAAAGGGCCTGTTCTCTCCACTACAGTTGGCTAAAGCTCATGGGATGCTAGCCAAGAGCTACCTGTGTTTATCATTTCCAACACAGGGAGCCTGAGAAGCTAAGACACAACCACGACGATGACTTTGGTGACGTGTTTTTGTGCAGTGCAAACATGAGTCCTGACAGTTCTACACAGTAATTTGTATACTTTTGAGATCTACTTGAACAGTGCTTATTGAAGACACCTGCCACTAGTTAGGATGAAGTGTATTTAAACTTTGGCCATGTGATAAACCAAATTACAATATAAAACTACAGTGTAACTGGTATCTTTAATCACTGATTAAAAAGATAATTTTAATAACTAAAAAATTTTGATGTGACATATGTATTGTAAGTCTCACCTGGAAATTAGAACTTCAAAAACAATGTTACTTGAAGCCATACTGTGACTTTAAAATCATGATTTTGTTTTCCCTTTATCATTTTCTGAAATTTTTTTTCTTTTTTTTTGGTGAGGAAGAGTGTCCCTGAGCTAACAGCTGTGCCAATCTTCTCCAACTTTGTATGTGGGACGCTGCCACAGCATGGCTTGATAAGTGGTGTGTAGGTCCACGCCAGGGATCCGAACCAGTGAACCCCGGGCCACCAAAGCAGAGGGCACGAACTTAATCACTATGCCACTGGGTGGGCCCCTGAAATATTTTTTATAAAAACAAAAATAGCCTTATTTTTTAAAGTAATCATAAACCTGAGCACAATTAACATTTCTGTAGAAATGACCTTGATACTTCACATGCATGTGCAACTTCCCTGGGCAGCCTACATATATACACATTTAATAATAATTACCAGTAACACTGGTCCCAAAATGTTCAAGGGGCTAGAAAATCGTTAATACCAGTAATCTTTGGTTGAGTGTTTAGTCAACATGAAGCAGTTTAAATGCACTAATTTCCTTAAGGCTTTTAACGATGTGTGGGTTAGGTGATAAAAGACTCAATCTTCATAGGAGAAAATGTGAAAACTCAGAAATACACATATACTAAGCAACAGAGCTAGGATTTAAGCCTACATTTGTCTGACTTCAACATCAATTCTTAACAATTCATTATACTGCTACCTAAGTTTCTATGTGACTCACTGATTTTTTCATATCATTCTCTGTTTTAATTTCAGCTACAATAGTCTTAGACCTGATACTCATACCTTCCATAACTATATCTGCAGTGGCCTAAATGGCATCTTTATGTTGAGCCTCCAATTTGTCTGCATATTATTGCCAAATTAAGTATGTCATTTAATCTCTGTCAACACTCCAATGTCTTCCTACTGTCAACTGCGTACTACATCTGCTCTGAACTCGGTCTAGCTTTCGAGGCACAGCACAATCAATATCACACTCCCACCACTTCAGAAAACCCTCCCACCAAGCAGATGTTACTTTCATATGAACTGTAACTTGCTTCCACCATTTTATCCTCTCCTTAGCTTATCAGAATCCAGCAGTAACTAAATAAAGCCCTACCTCTTCTATGAAGTATGACAAATCCATTCTGACCCACAGAGATCAGTCTTAATAAATTACATGCTACTCATATACTTATATATTTCCTCTGATCACCATAGCCTCCAATTAGACTGAAAGCTAGAATTATATCTCCCATTTCTTTTGTATACTTTATTCAGTGCAAAACAAACAGAAGACATTAAATATACAGCACATGAAGTGGTTAAGAGCATAGACTCTGAAATAAATTCTAATCCCAGTTGCTAAGTGACCTTGGAAAAACTGCCTAATCTCTCTTAAGCCTGTCTTCATCTATTAAAACAACAGGACCTATGACCCTCATTAGACTGTTAAGTATTTTACATTAGATAATTCATATAAAACAATATGATGCCAAGCGTATATATATACAACTGTATTAAAATGTAACTCATGTTAAAACTTGCAGATACAGTTTTTGTTTAAATAAAATTTTACTCAGCCATCAAAAATGTATACACACACATATAAACACACACAAGTAGTTCTCACATTATCAACAGCTGTTTCAATAGAAATCACTCTAAATTAAAATAATTAGAGAAGGCACATGCGTAACAGGCACTAGGATATTTCCTTACTAGAATCAGGTTAAGATAGAATGGCAGCAATGCTCTAATTGATATTTCTGCTCTTCTGTTTTGCAAATTTAAACCTTAAACTTGTCCTTTTCCCAAGTCCCCTAGAGTGAACCCTCTTACCACCCTCAACTTGCAGCCTTTTACACTGCACGAGCATGAGGCCATTAGGTGTGATCTGTGGAACCATGTCCATCCTCTTCTCGAGTCTGAGATAAAATGGCATTCCTATTCCAGATTAACCCACTTTTCATGACCTATATACTAAATGTTTCAGTGTTTCAGGGTTCAATCCCTGACCCATTTCCTTTTTCATGGGATGGCTATCTCCTGCCTTCTCTCATCTACTCATTTACTACCACGCTAAAATTTTGAAAGCAGTTTTGAAGGAAAGACAAACCATATGTCCCCCTGTCAAGCACATATACATTTACAAAATTGAATCTACCCCCACATATCTAAGGAAAAGTAACACAGGCAAACATTTTTGAATTTAACAATGTATTAATTTGTAATAATCATCAAATTCCCATCCAAAATTATCAATGCTCATTTACTATTCAAATAGATAATATATAATTAAGATCTTACTTATTAATATCTGAACCAAAATCTTCAAGAAATTCCACTTTTCTCTGAGAAAATGTAATTCTCATTTTAATAGGTAAGGAGCCATGTACAGCTTTGTCAAAACAGTTTAGGATATTTTCTTCATTTTGTTTGAGGTCACCACTATATTCCATTTCAAGTAAATTGAGGTATAACTTTGTGTTCTCCTGTGTAAAAAGCAGTATCAATTAATATTTCTAAGATATTTTGGTTAGACCACAGATATTTTAAATGCCTTAATTTTTATGTCTCAAAAAAATTCTATATTAAAAATTATATTGTATTAAAATGTAACTCATGTTAAATGTTTCAGCATACATCTAAACGGGTGAAAACACTAATTAGCACGTTGATAGGTAGTGACAAAATCCAGGTATCTCCCCAGCTACACAAATTGTTAAATGCCAATAAATTAAAACTTTATATCCTATCTTAGGTTTAATGTGGCTTGACCTACTGTGACAAATATAACATGAAACAGAAAAAAAAGATCTCTACAGTTCTCAATAATTTAAATCTTTACAACTGTAGATAATCATCTAAACTGCAGCTGGAAGCAAAGAGTTATAAACCCGTGTCTTAGATCCAGCATTAGCTGAAAATCTAAAAAACTGAGACATTTCCTATACTCTGCCTTTCATCAATTGACATATAAAGGGAAACACTTAGGAAAAGGAGAGGAATCTCACTGCTACGTTTGCTATAATGTAGGCAACTGCTGGGCTTTCATTTGTAAGGTGTTCTCCCAGGCCCTCCACCTAATAATCAATAAAATTGTTCTAAAATTTCTAAATATGAGGAAAATACAAAGTGTCACAATGTCCGCAACACTTTTTAATCCAATCATCTTCATTTTCTCAACCTTTTAATTCATAATTGACAATTTTAAAAAAGAATGGCAACATCAGTTTAGAGGGACTGTTGTCTTCATTTAGTAATAAAAGATATTACATACAGACTGAATCTTTCATCACAGTTGCCAAAATGAAAAAAAATGACCTATTTTTAATGGAAGATAGTCTGAAAAACACAAATACATACTTTGTCTCGTTCAATTGCTTCCAAAAGCACCTTTCTTGATTTGGGAAGGTTTTTTTGTATTTTGAAAAGATGTCGGGCTAGTTTGATAGCATAAAACGATGATTCGTTATTTGATTTGGCATTCTTAATGGCATCCTGAAGCAAATGTTCAGCTTCTTCCATATTTCCATGCCGTCGTTCTAAACTTACTCTTCTCAACCGAACCATTGCCAATCCTAGAACACATTCTTCAAATGTTCGCAAGATATTCCTGGCTTCGTTAATGTTACCTAGAAATAGAAATTAAATGATTATGCTTTTGTTTAAATTTCTGAAATATCCTTTATGCCAGATATTGGCAAACAGCCCACAGACTAAATCCAGCCATCTGCCTGTTTTTATTAAAAAAAACATGTAGGGAAAACAGCGATGCTCATGTGTCTATGGGTTGTCTATGGCTGCTTTTGGGCTACAATGGCCAAGTTGTTAGGAAACAGACCATATATATGTGGCCTGCAAAGCCTAAAATATTTACCATCTGGCCCTTTACAGAAAAAGTTTACTGACCTCTGCTTTACACCATCTCTCAAGACTCAAATCATATAACTTTATCCTGAAGTAACTTAAAATCCCAAAAATATCAACTGAATTTCCTCATTCTTACCCTGCTGTTCCTCAAAAGCTGCCCAAAGCATATGCACCATGGGTTTCTTTGGGAGATGGATAGTGCAAGCTCTGCTGAAGACATGCCTCACTCCTTCAGTGCTATGGTTTTCCATGTACTTGGCATACTACATACAGAAACAGAGGAAATACTGAATAATTTACAGTTGAACAAGCCATTAAATATGTGACAGAACGATAAAATTCTATTTTTAAACCCATTCAGCACCTTTATTGAACCACTAGACTAGTTTCTGTAAGGAAGGACGAAGAGAGGCAACGAGGTTGGCATATGCAGCAGTCAAATCTGGTTGCAAGCAGACCATCTCCTAATGCAACAGATATAGTTATATGAACAACATTCAACAGAAGTACAAAAAAGGTTAGTCACTAGATCAATGTTTATAATATATTCAAGTTTCAGAGCAAATAATTTTCTTACCTTAATCCAAAACTCCTCATAGAGGGCACATGATATGACACATCTTTCAAAGAGAACCACAACTCGTTCGTGAGTCCCATTTTCAATTTCAAATTCTAAGTATTCTTTCCAGTTTTTTAATTGTGCCTTTTCCAATGGTTTCACATGAAAATAAGGTCTTTTAATCTGTAATAAAAGTATGACATGGCAATGAAAGTAAACCAATACCAATACCAAAATACACATGACTACAGTAACGATACAAATTTAAATTATAAAATATACTTAATGATAACCAAAAAAATTTTAATCACCATATTCATGATAAAAAAACTTTTTAAATTAAAATACCTTAAATTCCTTAGGCTTTACAAATTAAAGAAATAAAATGTATTTTCCACTTAGTCATTTTAACAGAACTACACAATTTTTTTATGTTCATGAAATTTTATCTTTGTTGAGTATTTTAAAATTGAACAATGATACCACAGTAACAGAAAGCAGATCAGTGGTTGTCTGGGGCTAGGAGTAGACTCGGGGTTAGTGAATAAAAAGGGGCCAAGGAGACTTCTGGGGTGACAAAATAGTTCCATATTCTGAATGCTGTGGTGATTACAGTGCATATACATTTGTCAAAACTCATTTTACTGGCCAGTCACAAAAAACCACATACTATATGATTCCATTCATACTAAAGGCCAGAAGAAGGAAATCTAGAGGAACAGCAAGTACATTATTGGTACCTTAGGGCTGGGGGGCGGGGTTAACAGGTGAGGGAGTAGAGGGCTCAGAGCTAAAGGGTAAGGGGTTTCTCTTTGAGGTGATGAAAATGTTCTAAAATCAACTGTAGTGATGGTTGTACATATCTGTGAATATACTAAGAACTACTGAATTGTACATTTGAAATGGGTGAACAATACAGTATGTGAATTATATCTCAATAAAGCTGTTAAAAAATGTAGAAATAAAGAATCAGAATGGTGGGGGGGAACCCTCATTTTACTGTACCCAAAATGGGTACATTTTGTTGTACATAAAGTATAATTCAATGAAGTCGATTTTAAACATACAACAATTACAACAAAATGGTTCCAATTAAACAGATATCTTGCAATTTAAATAAGTCTAAATTCAGTAAACTCTAAAATTGATAATGGAAAATGACCGATAATGGAAATTAATCATGGTAGAAATATATGGGACAAACATCTTAAGTTATTACCTAAGCAAAAACAAAGAAAAAGTAACAGGAGAGACATTACTCAAAACTGAAGGAAAAATATATTATTCCTATCTTTTTATTTTGAAGGCTATTACAAAAACAAAAACACTTACACCTTCTTCAAATGTCCACCTTTTACTAACTTCATGCTCATTATAATTAAACATTTCTTGATGGATTTCAATGATTCTATGTCTCATGTTTTCTATTTCAGTAATTAGCTTAGGAAGAAAAAGAAAAAAATTTAAATCACACAAGTTATATGCCAAAAATTCTAAATATCACTGCTTACATTTAAGTATTATCCACATGTACTTGAGTCTTAGAATAGTGGTGGGTTTTAAACTGTTAGCAATTATGTGCAAAGTACAATTAACAATACTAAAATTTACAACAGAATTTCCTAGTAAACCACTTTCTCAGGTTTTGTTTTGTTTTAACAGGGCTAGTAGATCACAAGGTAGGCAAACTATTCCTTCTAAGCTATTTCCAGGTGTCTCATAGTGAAATGGATCTCCACCTCAAATCTATATTTAAACCGTACCAAGTAAAGAAATGCCACTTGCCTTAATCAGAAATTAATTTTATACGAGCTACAAGTAGTACCACACTGCAGTCAAGGAATATGAAGTTTAGTTTCTCATGCGTTGAAGGAAATAAGTCTGGTTACCTTTGCTGGATCAGTTATATCTTCAATTCCCGATGGCAGATCATCACCAGGAGGGCCATCATCTCCACTATGTCCATTTACAGAAGCTAATTCCCTTCGCAGCTGAATAAACTGTTCTCCAGTTAGAAGATCTCTAGGCAAGTTATTCTGTACATGTTCTTTAAATCTAAAGGAAGACAATAAAAATATATGCTCTAAATATGAAGCATGGGGCCAGCCCGGTGGCGCAAGCTGTTAAGTGCGTGCGCCGCTGCAGCGGCCCGGGGTTCGCCGGTTCGGATCCTGGGCACGCACCCGACGCACCGCTTGGCAAGCCATGTTGTAGAGGTGTCCCATATAAAGTGGAGGAAGATGGGCACGGATGTTAGCCCAGGGCCAGTCTTCCTCAGCAAAAAAAGAAAAAAAAAGGCGGAGGATTGGCAGATGTTGGCACAGGGCTGATCCTCCTCACAAAAATAAATAAATAAATAAATATGAAGCACAATTTTAGATCCCACGTTAGACTCCTATACACATTACTCTCTCAAAAAAAAACTGATTTACAGGGCTGGCCCCGTGGCGTAGCGGTTAAGTGCGCGCTCTCTGCTGCTGGCAGCCCAGGTTCGGATCCCGGGCGTGCACTGAAGCACCGCTTGTCAGGCCATGCTGCGGCAGTGTCCCACATAAAGTAGAGGAAGATGGGCATGGATGTGGGACAGTCTTCCTCAGCAAAAAGAGGATTGGCATGGATGCTAGCTCAAGGCTGATCTTCCTCACAAAAAAATAAATAAAAATAAAAAATAAATAAATAAATAAATGATTTACAGAAAGAAACTGGGGGGGCAGGCCCCGTAGCTTAGCGGTTAAGTGCGTGCGCTCCGCTACTGGCAGTCCGGGTTCGGATCCCAGGCGCACACCGACGCACCGCTTCTCCAGCCATGCTGAGGCCGCGTCCCACATACAGCAACTAGAAGGATGAGCAGCTATGACCTACAACTATCTACCGGGGCTTTGGGGAAAAATAAAGAAAGAAATTTCGAAAGAAAGAAAGAAACTGGGGCCAGCCCAGTGGCATGGTGGTTAAGTTCACACACTCTGCTTCAGCGGCCCAGGGTTTGCAGGTTGGGATCATGGGCATGCACCTACACACTGCTCATCAAGCCATGGTGTGGCAGCATCCTACATACAAAATAGAGGAAGATTGGCACAGATGTTACCTGAGGGCCAATCTTCCTCACCAAAAAAGAAAAAAAGAAACCAAAACATCACACCCTTTCTCCTTCCATGCTATATTAAAAATCTACCACTTGATAAACAGTCTACAGACATCTTCATTTCCTTCCTGCCTCTGCAATGGAATGGCAAAGGCATGGACAGGCATAAATTCAAATCCTAGTTCTGTCCATTATTAGTTATTTGCCTTAAGGAGCTTTTCCCTTCTCTAAATTTTGGTTTTCTCATCTGTAAAATGACACAATACCTATCTTGCAAAGTTACTGTAAAATTAAATATAGTATTCTATATTTAAATTATACATGATCAACAGATGTTTGCAGTTCCTGCCCCACCTCTCAATTACTCCTGAATCCATGTGTCTGTGCCAAACACTTATGCTAGTATTTCCAAGGATTCCACTCTGCATTTTGTTCTTATCAATTTTTATATACTTTCTAGCCAATCTTATTAATACAGCTTGAAATAATAAGCATATTATGATGAGTCTTAAAACGACAACTCAAGCCCAAACCTGTCTCCTAAATTCCAGATTAGTATATCCAATTGTCACCACTGCATAAACATAGATTCATTTTAAGCAAAGAGCATTTTGAAAAAATGTCACTTCATTTTATCCATACACACTAATTTATATAAATATATACAAATTATAAGCAAAATTTAATCAAAAAAGTTGAGAAGCTAAAATATCTACAGTACCTCAGTTAGGAACCTTTTCCACAACGTCTTTAAATTGTGTGTCATCTTCACCCACAAATCAACACCTTCAGCATTTCTCATCTTGATTAATGGTTACTGTCAACCACTAAGTTTCCCAATCTCTTCCACCTAGCATATCACTCACATTCCACTAGATACCAGGTCGTACTGCTTCTACCTTCTACATACATCTTCATGCCCTCCTCACTTTTCATCTGGATAAACATCAACTTGTCTTCCAGACTCTAGTCTCATAACTCCCACCCCCACCCCAATACTGCTATCAAAAAGTAAACATGAAAAACAAAATAGTAAACATGATCATATCCCCCTCTACCAAAATTACTTCAGTACACTTACCCTGCATTCAGGCTAAAATCCAATCTCCGTAGATAAAGTCTTCCATTTTCTGACCCAGACCTACCTCTTCAATCTAATTATTAGACATAGTTGTACATGTACCATATGCTCCAACCTTAGAGACTTTTTTCCCAAGTTTCTTAAAATTGATTTAGGCTACTGACACTTGGATTTTAAGACTTTCACAAACGTATGTAAATAACACTGGAAGCTAATTTAAATTTTGCAAAATTAATGGATACAGGGGCCGGCCCCATGGCATAGCGGCTAAGTGCGCATGCTCCGCTGCTGGTGGCCCAGGTTCGGATCCCGGGCATGCACCGATGCACCGCTTGTCAGCCATGCTGTGGTGGTGTCCCATATAAAGTAGAGGAAGGGCCGGCCCCGTGGCTTAGCGGTTAAGTGTGTGCGCTCCGCTGCTGGCGGCCCGGGTTC